GCTGTTCCTCTTCAGCTGCATTTTTTGTTCCCTGCGTGTGAGATAACGTGTTTTCTTACTGCCGCGCTGTGTAAAAGGAAACCCCCCCTCACACGGTGGTATCCGGCCCGCTGGTAAACATGCAAATTCAACTAAAAATAACTTTTGCCAGAATAACGTTAAAAGCAAAGCCTGCAGAGAGAAATTATCTCTCCCAGTTGTTAATGCTGCTTACTCTGAGACAGTCTCTTGTCTGGCAACTGTCTGTTGCATTAACTTCTGAAACCTGTAACCTGTAGAGCTTACTGCGGGGATTTTGGAGATGATGTGTCAGTTTTGTTACTCGCAGTTTCACAGAACTGTGTTTCTGTGTGTAGCCTGTTATGGTTCCTGTGCTAAAAGGTAATCCTGCAGTTGTTCTCAGCAGAGAGTGTGATTTTATTTACTGGGATATTATTTTAGGACCACAGGTAAGCTGAAAAGTGGCTCAGGGGTGTAAGTTTGTACATCTGTCCCATCAGGGTATTTCTGAAATCCCAAATTAAATACTGATGCTGTGAGCAGTTTCGTTCCTTGTCCCTGTCAGACTTCTGACACATGTGACAGGCTTATTCTGCATCAGGCCAAGCTTCCTCATGCAGCAGACAAATAATAATCCTTGACTTTATTGTGCTGCCTAAATAATTTTCTCTCTGTTGCCTGTTTCAAACTTTTAAACACAAATGGCTGCCTTGTAGATGTTAAAAAAGAAATAAAAAGCCACAGACTAAAAACTGTACAGGGACAACATAAACACAACCTTAATGTAAAAGTGGTATAAATAAGTTGATGCTATTTTTTTCCTTCTCATCTCTGTTTTAATTCTACTTCTTTAGTTTGAATACTTGCTTGTAGAATTTTCAGCTTGTTCTGATTTGCCAATTTGCTGCAAAATACTCTTATCACAACAGGTGAGGAGTAGCTTTTTTAATACTGAAGAAGCATGTTATTGACGTATTCAGAAAGCATCAGTGCCCGTGTTTGTTGCTAAGTAGTCGTGTGCCTTTCAGTGCTAAGGAAGTTTTTTGCATCTATTGTAAGGATATTCTTACATACAGTTGATAAAAATCTCCAATTTTCTAGAGACAACTGTACCCAATTAAGGGGAGGAGAATGCTGCATTGACAGCGAAATGTTTGTGTTTTACCAGGTAACAGATTGGTTGGCATGTGCCTTTGATGACTTCTTTGGAAACACAAATATTGCTTCGAGTGCCGTTGCTGTGAAGCCACTAGAAGGCAACTCTGGAAGAAAACAGCAGCAGCAGAAGAAGAAAGATTTGTCTTCTGTGCCAGAAAGCAGCAAAACCAAAGCTCTGCCCAGAAAAAGAGCAAAGTCGTCTTCAGTAGATCTGCCTGGTAACCAGACCAGGCAAAACTGGAGCCAGTCTGAAGATGAGCCGTGGGTAGATAGATACAAACCCAGAACTCAGGTGTGAGCGTTATTCTTAGTGCTAATACAACAGTGACATTATAGTATAACATGATGTGCTTCTGTTCATAATGAGGTTCCAAGTACATCACATTTTATTAGGGCAGTGCAGCACTAGTCTGATTTATCCCCTGTGTGTAGTTAAGATTTTTAATCAGCTATTTATCTGTTGGAGACACATTTTTTTCCCCCAGGCTTCCTGAGGAGATAAAGCTACTGATGAAATGTTGTTTCCCGTCCATCCACTCCACTCCTAAACTTTTGAACCTGTTACTGAATTACAACCAGATCTGGCAGTTCCAAGTACGAGGAAAATCCGCAGCTAAAGAAAGGAGAGAGCTGAGTTAGCACAGTCGTTATGGGAAGGAGAACAGAAATTATCCTGCGTGTCACTGCACGGCAGTTAGCTGGTCCGTTAGCCTGTGCAGGGCACTGGACAAATTGCAGTTTGCACTATGTCTTGATTCACAGAATCACAGAATGTTGGGATTGGAAGGGACCTCAAAAGATCATCTAGTCCAATCCCCCTGCCAGAGCAGGAACCTAAATGAGATCACACAGGAAGGCGTCTAGGAGGGTCTTGAATGTCTCCAGAGAAGGAGACTCCACACCCTCCCTGGGCAGCCTGTCCCAGGGCTCTGTCACCCTCACTGTAAAGAAGTTTCTTCTCAAGTTTAAGCAGAACCTCCTGTGCTCCAGCTCACACCCACTGCCCCTTGGCGTGACTGTGTGGGTGGGGGGGTCCTGCAGCACCTTAGGGCTTCGAGGAGAAAGGGCTCAGATCTGGAGTAAACCTGTCTCCACTGGTTCTGCTCGTGGAACAGCTGTTTCACAGCGCGCTGCAAAGGTATCGGCGTGCCTGTGAGCTCTCTGCGAGCCTGTTGATGTCAGTGAGTCAGTGTAGTTCTTGTGTGTTGTATTTAAATATTTAATAGCTCATCTCTGGAGAGGAATTGAGTTACAAGGCTAGAAGATGAATAAGATGCATGAGATTTGCAGAAGTTCCAACAAACCTTATGTAGTATTAGAGTCACTAGAGCCTAAAAAGTACCACCTCCAGCAGTAGCTGTAAAGTATACTGACACAAACAGGCACGAGTGTAATGCTGGGGATAATAAATAATTCATTATTGCCCAGCTGCAAGCAGGGGAAATTCAGTTGTTTGAGGAAACAGGCTGAAATGATTATCCCTAACTGTTGCACTTACTTCTCTGTAGGATAAACATATGTAACTGGAACATACATGTACATGTCTTTAATATTTTAGCCAGCATTTGTTCTGTTTTTGAATCTCATCATTACAGTCTTGGAAACAAAGAGGTGTATAGATGCATTTCATATATTTTAATCTTGTTTTAGAATGACCTTGCTGTGCAAAAGAAGAAAATTGAAGAGGTTGAAACCTGGTTAAAAAAGCACATATTTCAGAGGCAGCCAAAGCAGGTAATCTTGCTCGAATCAGCAGCTAGAGATATAAAAACATACAAATGGATTAAATTTGTTTTAATTTTGGAGAAAAAACTTTGTTAACTTGTAAGCAGTGATTATATATCCATTGCCTGAGAAGAAATCTGTTAAGAACATAGAGTAGAGCTTGTACATTTGTTTAGGGCTTATGCTGCTAAGAGGTGGATTCTGGTTTTGCTCAGAAATACTACATTCTATTATCCAGTCCGTTCATACCTCTTCACTGTCTGCTTGTAACTGCATTTTATCTCCTACAGAATAATTTTAAGTATCTTGGCAAATTTCCAGTTGCACTGACTTGATGTAATAGGATGTTTTTAACCTCTTGATTGTTAAGACATTCTTACACACAATTTACCAGTGTTACCTAGTGTTTTTCAGACCTGATTCTCCAGTTCAGTATGTATTCTATTGATAGTCTACATGGTGTGCAGTCACCTAAACAGATACATTAAAAATTGAGAGGAGAAATCTCAGAGTATTGGTCTAGCTCTTTCTATCTGAATATTCAACAGGTAAATTAATAACACAAAATATTTAACTCATTTTTTTATTGGGAAAAGAGACTCTTTACCAGAGAAACTATAGAAGAAATTCAGCCAGTATTAATCTTCAGCTAACTTGAAGTCTTTTATCGTTTTTGGGATTTTTTTTGGTCTTTTTTCCTTTTCCTGTGACAGGGGGGCTCTATTTTACTGCTGACTGGTCCTCCTGGGTGTGGAAAGACTGCAACTATAGAAATATTAGCAAAAGATCTCGGTGTTGAGGTGCAAGAATGGACCAATCCAATATCGTTAGACTTTACAAAAGAAGACTTAAGAAATATGTTTGGCCATGGTAAGTATTTTGATTTTTTCCTTTCTTTTTTCCTTTTCTTTCCCCCCCCCAGTTACTTTTGTGATTTTTGTATTCTGTATGTTTTATTCTTTTGTGTCTCTGTCACCTATGAAGTCAGATCCTGTTGTTTAATAAGAATCTTCCTTTTGCTTTTATCTGAAAAGGGATTTAGTTTTTTAATACAGTGTTTACTCCAAAATAATTTGTGATTCACATCAGTGTAGAGAGCTGTGTAATAGCCTGGATATAGTTTCAAACAATTAAATAAAAACAGGTAAGTCTGTCTTTGTCTGGGTCCTTAATTGAATTCTACCCTTTAAAAATCCTCTTGTATTTGTAATGTGCCTGCCAAAGGGTGCTGGTGTTCAGTGGCTACTGTCAGAAAATAGTATGAGTGGGTATTAGTTCTTGTGGACATTTATATTCTACTTGGTGTAATATAGAAAACATATTTTTAATTAGTTTTCTTTTTCAGGCTCAGATTTTCATACATTTCCGAGTCAGGCCCAAGCAACTCTCTTTCAAGATTTTATATTAAGAGCAAATAAGTATAACAAACTTCAGATGCTTGGGGAGTCCTCAGAAAATGATAAAAAGCTTATTCTTATTGAAGTAAGTAAAAACTTGTGAAATCTTGTTTTGAAAACAGTACCTTTTATTATAATATTGATATGCTAACTAGGTTCAGCTGGTGGATTGGTGCTGGCAAAAGTTACTCTGCTTTACTGCAGATGAGTTCTTTATTACTTTTTGAGACTCTACAGCAGGCTAGAACCAAGTTCTACCTGTAGATAAACTATAAAGCTAATAGGCAGGCAGAAACTGGAGACTGGTTTGTGTATAGAAATAAGTAATAGAGTATCAAAAAGCAGATGAAGAACAATACTGAAGAGTCAGTCATACCCATGTTTCTGTATGATTGGCTTTTTAGAAATATTTATGTTTATAAACAGGAAGAGGGGGAAAAACCCTACTATTCTTGTTACTTAAGAATGCAGAAGAGCGTAGAAGATACAATTAATAAGAACACACTCAGAAAGCATTTGAAATGTAGCATTCCCTGGTCTTAAGCTCGCAGGGTGAGGTGTTATTTAGGGCAGAGATGTGAACTTTGAGAGTTTGCAAGCCATAATGGGAGGTACAGGAGAGCACTTTATTTTTTACGTACTCAGGAGTGTGTTTCAATAGCACTTTCTTTCTCAGCTTTTCATTTTTTTTCTGTCAGAGGAATTTTATAGGTTGTGATAGTCAAATTGTCTGTAAACTTTCAATAAAAAGAGTAGATGAGATAAAAATTCTAGCTGAGTAATGTGATGTACTGTGGAATTTAGGAAACACAGTTTTCTGTGACTTCTCTTCATGAAATCCCTTCCTTGTGTAGGTCCTCTCATACTTCAAATAGTATGTCCTGCCTTCTTCCCCAGTGGAGCTACCTCGAGTGTTTATCCTCTGAGTAAAACTCCGTCTAGTAGGCAAAATAATGACCTGAGATTGTTTCTTAGGAAAGAACAACAGAAAGAAAATGTTTCTTTTAGATAATTTTTCTCCATAATAAAAGAAATACTATGCTTTTTGCCCCCCCCTCTTTCTCCTTTGTTCCCCCCTCCCCCCTGGTTCTCTTCACTGTTAGCTGCCTAATTGAAAGCAAGCTTATTAAGAAGAATAATAGCATGCCGTAACAGTCGGTCTGTGGGAGAGAATATTGACATCTGAATGTAATGACAGCATTTCATTTGTTTTGAACAGGACATACCAAACCAGTTCTATCGAGACCCCAGCACTCTACATGAAGTTCTCAGGTCAGCTGGAAATAAGTTTTTAACGATGAGCTGTAGCCACTTGCAGTGAAGTGTATTTTGATTCTTGTTATACTTGCTTATTTTGGAATTTAGGAGATTTGTTCGTACAAGTAGATGTCCCCTTGTATTTATAATCTCGGATAACTTCAGTGGAGACAGCAACCGGAGGTTACTATTCCCAACGGAAATTCTAGATGAGTTGTGTATGTCCAATATTAGGTAAGATCTTTTATCTCATTAAAACTTGATTGAAATAAATGAGAAGTCGGAAACTAATTAATTTTTTTTTAAAATGAAATTCAACAGTTTCAAGCCTGTTGCACCAACAAATATGATGAAAGTTCTTACTCGAATAGCTGCAACAGAAGCTAGTATGGTAAGTTGTCAAAACTGATAACTTCTGTGCAGTGCCAGGACCAAAGGATTTCAGATTTTATATCTGATATATATTATTTATATTTGTTTGATCTTTGATAGGAGACCCCTACACCCTCCAAAAACCCCTACCAATCCCCCCCAACAGAAAACAAGGAACAAAACAGAAAGATGTCTTGTTTTTAAGATGAATTCCACTTGATCCTCGTTTCAAGTCTTCAAAGTTACTTCTGAAAATTCTGCCTATTACAGAAATGATATATATGAAACAATTAAGAAGTAATCTGCAGTGTATCCAACAAGGCTAGAAGAGGTCACACACCTAAATCCTGTGTTGTTCCTGAACTGTTTTGATTGTGACCAAGTCTAATATTGAGTGACACCTTGCAAATAATTATGTCCATTATTATCTTTAATATTGCTGTATAAAATGTGGCAACGTGCTTAAATGGATTAAATGTTTTCAAGTTAGCAGTATTACATGGTTTGAGCACACGGTGGGTGCTCATGTAGTCTGTTTATGGTGTGTGTCAGAGGGAGCCCCCACAGACAGAATAATATTCAAATACTCCTTTTCCTACTTTTTCTTACTACTTTGAATGTTGCTTTTCCTTGTAGAACAGAGAGAGGAATTATGGTCTTGATAGAACTTCTTTGGAGTTGCTTTGCAAAGGTTGTTCAGGTGATATAAGAAGTGCAATAAACAGTCTTCAGTTTTCTTCTATGAAAGGTAAATACCTGTGATTTTTTTAAGTGAATGACATTTTGACCATTTCTGCTGTAAAGATACTCTGTTCCCTCTTGCATCACAGCAAGGTGAGCTGTGCAAAACGTTTTTGACATACTGCTTTGGAGCAGGAAGAAAAGGGGATTTTTAAGCTGAAAATGTTCCATTTCATGGCTGTTTATTGTAGTCTTAAAATTGAGTAACATCTGCTATGTATGTGTTGATGTAAGTTAATGAAATGCCCTCTTTTCATCTTAATATTTTTGCTATTAGTGTATATTTACTGATCTAAGCGTTTATGATGCAACCTTAATTTGAAAGGGCTATTTAAGCATGTGGTTCTTTATATTTCTCCATGCCCTTATCTCTACCTTTAAAGCATTTCTGAAATAGCCCATTGACTTTGTATAGAGCATTTCTGTAATGATTGATTCTGCTTTGGGGTTCCTACAACTGTTGGTAGATTGAAAAGCTGTGAGCTGGCATGACCTACCATGAACTTAGCGAGTGTATCACAGAATAACTTTGAAAGGCAGTGTTTTGGTACTCCTCAAAGTACATGGTTAGGCAGTGCTCAAATCAGACTTAGTTTGGGATTATTTTAAATATTCCAACATAGAAAGGAAACAGGAGACTTGCTGTCATGTCTCTTAAAAGCATTGGAAGGCAATAATTGTTAAGAAACCGATGTATGTGAGTTAAATAACCTGTGATTTTTAAAAGCAGTGCTGTGGGACGTGCAGTTCATTGTAAGAACCGTTGGATGGTGCCAGCATTTGTATTCGACATAGAAATGAGGAAGGGAATTCAACAGTTGTCTTCTGCTCTGTGTCCTAACTCAAGCTATGATCTTCTGGCTTTTATTTTCTCTGACATCCACCTGGCAAATAAAAATGTGCTCTTGGAATGCAGGATTAAGTGTAGTTTCAAGTCCTTGTTGTAAGAGGGAGTGTTGTAGTTGGAGTTCTAGAGCGTACTGAAATTAAATTAGCTGTGTTTGTTAAATTACATGAGGGAGAGAGATGAAGTTTCCAGGTTTAACTTGCCAACGTGGAAACTAAATTCTTCTGATGTTGTCCTCTTGAATACTAAGTTTGTATTGCTCTGTGTTAATCAGAAAAATATAAAATTCCTCTCAGTAAAACCATTTTTCTGATAATGCCATCGAATTAATAAATAATAGGTTGGTGATAACTGAGAAAAGCTTACAGTAGCTCACTGCTTGATGCTAAATAGCTGCTGCATACTGTAGAAAATCAAAATGGTCTTAAAATTACCAGCTTGTGTAATTGTTAATACACAAATTTTTACACCTTGGAAGTGTAAAAACATGAGAGTTATAAAGAGAACTTGGGAGACAAAGCCTGTGGCTTGGCAGCCTTTGTACATGGCACCTCAGAATCACATCCCCAAGTCGTACCACACAGAACAAACACTCTCTTCTCACGTTTTCTCTAACAGATTGAGAAGAGCTGCCTTCATGTTATTCAGGTATTTTGGTTAGGTAAATGCTTGGCAGCCAGTGATACTGTGTAAATTTTGGAGACCTCTCACCTTGCTGATCTCCTGAGAATGCATTATTAGTTCATATATATATATATATATAAAAAAATTCTTTATTCAGTTTGTGAGTGTAAACACAAGTGATACATTCAATTTGGTAGTATTAATGGATAAAATAAATCCATGGTAATCAGGGGAGAAGGGAAAGGTAAATACTTAAAAGATAAGTTCTCTTAGTTTGATAAGGAGTATTCTTCTGCCACTAAATCATATTGTGGGTGAAAATATTTTGAGTTTTAAATTAGAGTAGAAGAAGGGTTTTATTCCTTGGAGCTCAAAACACTGGAAATTAATAGGCTGTTGGAATAATCACCTAAATGAACAATTTTTTGCTTTATATTTCAGTAAGGGTATTATACAGATAATGCAAATAGAAGATAAATTCAGTAAACATAATGTAACTGAAATATAATTTACATATGTTTGCACTTTTACTTTATAAAGAAGAAATTTTTAATAAGACAAGTGGGGGATGTATCAGAACTAGAAAGAATGAGCAAGAATGCTAGCTTCTTTAAAGACATACTAGTCAAAAAAGTAGTTGGCATCTCAGCTGTGGCTTAAGGGACAGATTTGGAATGCAGCATGCTAGTTTAGGTGACTGTGTTGCCCTCCCCTTAAATTAATTTTCTCTTAATGCCCCTATTTGTATTACCCTTTCTGTTTTGTTTTTAATTATTATTATTTTTAAAATTTGTTTAGAATGCTAGCAGTAGCAATATAATAGAAAACTTTCTTAGATTCATATGCTTAATCCTGGTTGTATTTTTGCTTTTATTGATAGAGTGCTCATTGGAGAAGGAGTTTTGGTCAAGGAAGAAAAGGAGCTCCACACTAAAATGTGAGGCAGCAGCAGTATCTAAAGTAAGAAAGAAGAGTAGATCTGATACTTCAGAAGACCAGGAGATACAAGCTATTGGTGGCAAAGATGCTTCCATCTTTCTTTTCCACGCTCTGGGGAAAATACTTTACTGCAAAAGTAAGAAAACTTTGACTTATTCTCCCTTTAAATGGGCAAAGCATGTCAGCTGGTAATAGCTAGATTTGCTAAAGTAAGGGTTAGGGTGAGGTCTGATTTGCATGTTTGGTCATAATTGACATAAAAACAGTAATAAAAGTTTGTGGTAACTGCAGTTGCAGCTGTCTCTATCTATTAGGTAAATAAACATCTCATTAAGATGTGCTACATGTCTGTAATACAATTGTGTAACTCTAGTTGCGTTAGGTCCGCGTGCTGTCACGCACACAAAGCTCCATGGATAAGCCACCGCGTTTGTTGCTTTGTACAAGAGCAAATTTTGCTTTTGTGCAGAGTTATGCATTCTTACACAGTTGTGTTCTGTACTGGCCTGTATTCCTAAGATTACAGAACAGCCCTGCAGTTTCATGGCTACTGCCTTCCTTATTTGTATGTACGGGTTTGACTCTTTCTGCTGTCTTTTCCTCCCTACTTTTTTCCCTTTAACAGCCATACGTGCTCTCTCCTTTCTGACCTGAAAACCTCTTCCACTTTAGTCATACCCTGTCTCCCTTTGCACCTCTCCAAAATACTTTCCACTTTACTGCTGCTGAAAGCTCTACTTTTTATCAACACAGATTCTGTGAATTTACAGAACTTACCTGCTGCCTGCCTGTGATTACAGTATTGGTTTTTTAAACATTTAAAACCTATAATTCATAAGCATTTAATACTTATTAAACTATTACTATCTGCACTCAGCTAAATCAGGACTCATAATGCTGTTGCCTGTACACATTTCAGTAACAATTCACAATACCAGTTCCAAAATCAACTGAAGAGAAATAGTGCAGATAAGGGAATATGAAAATGATTAGATTGCATTTGTTATTTGAAGTGTAATATAACTAATTACACGTTGTTGACTGTATGTTGTTGACTGTATGTTGTTGACTGTATGTTGTTGACTGTATGTTGTTGACTGTATGTTGTTGACTGTATGTTGTTGACTGTATGTTGTTGACTACGTAATTAAATACTTATGCTTGTGTAAGTACTTAATTGTGGGAACTGAAAATAGTGTCATCTAGTTGCTGGTAGAGTTGACACTTGCTAAAATTGATCCTCAGTGTGTGCAAAAACTAGTCTTTGTGTAGTTACACATCTCTGTTCTTGCTGCTATCTAATTTTTATTCTATTTTTTAATATTTAACCTGAAATGTGTGTCTTCATCTTCTGGCTTTTTTGATTATGTGCAGAAATGTAACAACATCTCTGATACTAAAAGACTAAAGACTGTAAAATCCTTTTGTAGGACAACCAGTTTCAGAATCTGAATTTCCTCAGCTGCCTGCTCACTTATCAGAATACCATCGAGACACCTTGCTTATTCAGCCTGAGGTACTTCTGCAATAACTACTTGATTCCAGTTTGTTTTGAAAAAACCCAGATCTGAAGTGATTGATGCAAATTCTCAAGCACAGTGGTTTTGTCACTGATCTTAATATGTGTGTATTCAGTCTGTTTAAGTTACAGAATAATCTGGAAGGGACCTCTGGAGGTTAACTTCACAGGTAGATTAGGTTCCCAGGCTTGAGTTTTGAGTATCTCCAGGGCCAGAGATTCTCTCACCTCACTGACAGACTTGTGGTGGAAGGTGGACTCTCCCTTGCTGCAGTGTGACTGTTACCCCTCATCCCTTCCCGCTGCCAAGAGGAGTCTGAGTTCGCTTTTCTGTTACCACCCATTAAGAGAGTTGAAGGCAGCAATGGCTTCTGCTCCTCTGTCCCCACCGTTGGCTTTCTCTGGGAGCAAACCATGCTCCCTTTTGTGTATATAAACATCGTTGCAGAGATCATGTGTGCCAGCTCCCTAGCAGTCTAACTGTATCATAACCCTTATAGGATGCTCTTCCTTATACGCTGTGTAAAACCTGAACTTGTTTTTTTTTCCCCCCTAATAGGATATTGTGGAAAAATCGCATATGTCTGGAAGCATGTTTAATTTATACCTTCACCAGAACTATGTAGACTTTTTTTCTGATATAGATGATGTAGTAAGAGCCAGTGAATATTTGAGCGCTGCTGACGTCCTTTGTAGTAATTGGAGTGTAAGTGTCATCTTATACACACATACCTTTTCTCTTATATCCTGAGCTTCTAGATTTTTCTCTTGAGTGTTTATGAATGCTTACTACAAACTTACAACAGGGGTGACAGTGAGTTGTTAATGAATACTAAAGTACATCAGTGAGAGAAGAGATGCAGGTCCCACTTTTTGTTCAACTTCTGTCAGTGTTTTATTATAGTTGGTTACAGTGTTGGTAAAATGTTCTACTTAAAAATAGCTTGTAGAATAAATTTATGCTAAAGACGTGTTGGAGTCTGTGTGCCTTTTCCCTGAAGCAGTTGAGCTAGCTTTTTCATTCATCTGCTTTGAGTAAAAGTTCCATAGTAATCTAAACATATTCTGGGAGTGTTGTGTCACTGCAGTTACAGAGTGTGTTTTAGTTCAAGTGAGACACGTTCTGCAGAGACCTTGAATTCACATAATGCCCGATTTCTCTCTCAGACACGGCTTGTGATGGAAGAATACAGCGCGTGTGTGGCTACCCGAGGGGTGATACATTCAAACACATCCAGAGCCTTTGCCCACCACCAAGGAGGGATGGGGTTCCGGCCTTTACATAAACCCCAGTGGTTCTTTATCCATAAAAAGGTAAATGCTTGATTTTTTTTTTTAATTTATTTTTTGTAAAGTATGGTAATTCAGATTTGCTCATAGTGCTAAATTTGTCAAATAACCTATTCTGATATAAGCTACTTCCAAAAAGCACTTGCTTGAAGAGCACATTTGTATTATTCCTTTAATGGAAAATTAAGTTGGAGGCCTCTGACAAAGTGAGATTCCTGTGTCCAAGTTGACATCCTGCTGGGAGAGTCTTAATCCTGAGCTAACAGAGATACAATTAGGGTTGAAATACTATAAAGTATTCCTAAAAGCAAGTTTAAGTCTTTGTGCAGTTTAAATCACATTAAACTGTTGTGTAAGTTTGAGAGATTATTGCTGTTCTGTTTTATGTGTTTATCAGAAGTAGCTCGTTCATGAGATATCAAAGCTCTTGGCAATTTTTTACATTCAAACTAATACTTTTTTTGCTCTATCTGGCAAAAAATATTGGCCTGGATAGGTGGAGAATTCTATAATCAAGGGATTAATATTTTCTGGGAATTTTAATGCCCAACAGAAGGCAAAAATGAGGAATTTACCATTTTTATGATCTGTATGTGTTAACTCTAACTGCTTCTCTTTTTTTCTTTTTTTTCCTGTTCTGATTTTTCAGTAGCTTGTGTGTACTCATCCAGCAAGCAAGAAAAAAGTGTCTTTTATACTACAAAGTATCTACATTACCAATGATTTACCAGGTTTTTTACTTATATTTATTTTTTCCCACAACTCTTACAGTATCAAGAAAACTGCCTTGCTGCAAAATCTCTCTTTTCAAGCTTTTGTTTGCCACCTGAGTGTCTTCAGACAGAGCTGTTGCCTTATCTTGCTATGTTAGCAAATCCAATGAGAAACCAAGGTAAGATGGGTACAACTCTTGATCTTAGACTCTTTTTTTGTAATTAAAGCATACTGAAAAATTTTGTAACCCAAAATGTCAATACTATCTGTGCTTTTGCCTCAGTAAAAAAAATACTTATGGTAAATGCATGTAGCTGATATCCAAAAATGTTTCTAGAAACGTAGCCAAAATTAAAGCTGCCCTGTTAGGTTTGAAATAACATCAATAACATTTTTATAACTTAAGTAACTGAAAGAATTGAAATAAGTACCTCTCTTGGCAGAAGTGAGGCTTATATCATGCTGTATAGATGTGTGAGATGGGGTCCTCATGTTGGAGTATTTGAAATAATTTTTCCCTGTTTTTTTTTTTCTGCATGGATTTGTAGTATCTGTGTACTTTTGAATTTCATCATGTTGCCCTCTCACTCAGTCTCTTACGGTCCCTGTACAGTTTATCTGTCTGCCCACGTCCTTGCTAGTTTGTCTAACTGGGTGGCATCGGCAAACTTGCTCACCTTGCTCTTCACCCCACGTTTAAGAACGTCCTGGATAGCCCAGGTCCTAGCACAGATCTCTGCAGAACTCTGTTGGCAGCTTTTTTCCATTGCAAGCGTTAACTATTACCTCATACCCCTCTCCCCATTTCCTATTCATTAGTTATTTATCAAACTCTACTAATTAAGTTGTTCTCTGAGGTTTAGGGCTTCTTTTAAATCTACTAGAGGATTTGGTGAGACTTTTGGAAACCTAGTAGGCGTTATTAACTAGGTCTTCATTGCTTACCGATCCCTTTCCGGTAACATCAACAAACTTAAAAGGCTTTCAAAAGCCTTTCCCAGATAAAGGAGACAAAATCCAAGTTTGCAGTGCATTTAAAAAAATGTGTAATCCGAGGTAATCCAATAGCAGACAGTTCATGCAGAAAAGTTTACTTTTCATGGTACATAGTACAAAATTTACTGTTTAGACAGCTGGGTTGCTTAACTACTTCTAGTAAAAGACTTCATGTCCTAACTAAGGCCTTGACATCAGGATGAATTAATTTTTTAGGCTATGGAATAACAAGTGGGATCATAAATTCACAGTTGATGAATGTCAGGGTTTGTTGGGGTTTTTTTACATAAATATGTTACAGCAATGTGGTAAGCAGTTTGTTTAAAAAAAAAAACCCCAAACAGACAAAAAACCGTACACTGGTGCACAGTGTTGTGATCTTAAAAATACTGCAAATACATACAGGAATACTTATTAATTACTTACTTTCCAGTATGTTTAATTGTATGTGCATTGTGATCTACCCAATATAATACTGGTGATTCTTTGTTCTCAGCTCAGATTGCTTTTATCCAAGACATTGGGAGGCTACCACTGCAAAGACATTTTGGGAGGTAAACTTGACTTTTGTCATTTCTTAAAGAAAGTAAGACTTTCTTTCTTAATATATGGAGGAAAATAACTCTTTCATAGAGAAACAATGTGCATTTGTGATATGATGTTTTCCCTCACTTGCAGCATAGTAATTTTATATTTTGCCTGTTAAAACTTTTTCCAGGTCAAATCTATTCATCATTAAAATGTCAGTAGCTACGTTTTTACTGTAGTTTTGCTTTTAATCCTTGTTTAGCTTTCTTTTCCATTGTATCAAATATTAGCTCTGTCCTAGACATATCTGTGTTTCTGCAGTGCATGACCTGAATGATTTATTTTTTAACAAACAAAAATATTTACGTGAGAATAAAACTGAATTGATGCCAAGCGTGTAGTGCACTTTACCTGTTTTTTATCATGACATAAAACATCAATAGAACATTCTCTGTTCATGTGCGTGTTAGTTAGAGGTGTAATAAAGAAAGTATAACAGGGAATTATTCTTACTTCCTTTGAAGCAGTTGTGTATCTGAGGAACTACGGAATATGTTAACAAGTCCTTCCTCTGAAATTAGATAGCAGCACTGGTTTTAATTTTGTGGAATTTTTGCCTATCGGACTGCTTAGAGTAAACCTTTGTTTGAAATGCATTTTAAAAATAAAACTATAACTACTGCAGTTCTATCTTAAAAGTAAAATACTGAAAAAATACTTTTTTTTTTTTATTTCAATTGCAAGACTGTGGTGCTCTACTTGCTGATGGTGTAGCCCTCATGGGGTGATGTGGCATGACATGTTATACCGTGACGTTACGGAGCCTTCTGAAGCACAGGCATCATTTTTACTAGTGTAGCCTCAGTGATGTTTCTGTAACTTAGATATCTCTGAAATAAAAGGAAGAGTTATAATTGTGATGGCCATTTTCTAATTAACTAGATGATCTTTAAGGTCCCTTCCAATCCTAATAAAGGACTGAGATTACATTTAGCTGGAATGAGATTAACTCTTTCATCTCTTAACCCAGAGAGAGAGTTGGTTAAGGCATCTGACAAAGCATCTTGCATTTATCACTGTGGTATTGCTGTCTGAGTTTAACGATGAAGTACTGGCCTTTTTTTTTAATATATATATAGTTATTAATTGGATGGGAATGGCACTGTAGTAAGAAAACTGGCATCAAGGAGAGTGCATGGTATTTGATCAGCTGGAATTGGTGTCAGGATGAGTTTTTGTAAGTTTTTATTATTCCCATGTAAAGTGGGAAAAATAATAAAGGAACATTGGTAACATACTGATATAGAGATGCTAGAGAGATTGAGAAGTCCAAATACTAAAAGAAATTATATAATATAAAAATATTTCCTTTCTACTCCTTTTTTTTTCTTTCTTTTTAATTTGCCTGTTTGTAGTTAAATTGCTTCCTGTCCTAAAGGATTTCAGTTTTGCTTGGAAAGGGTCTGCTGTACCACGGGGTGTTGTCAGTAAGTTAATTGTTAGCAGCTCATGTGCGTGAGGAAAGCTCGGCAAAACCACTGTCACCCTAAGGCAGAAATAATACTGAAGGTGTTTACTGCCAGAAAATGTACCAGTGAGGAAGGGTGACCCGTGTGCTACCCAGGCAGTCTCTTCTATCGCAGCTGCTGTGTGAGAGAGCAGATGTTTTTTCATGATAACTTACTGTTGCAATGATTGTTTTACAGGTTAAAGCTTGAAACACTGACTGACAAAGACCCTGGGATACCAGAGCTGTTTGTTAGCTCTGAGGGGGACTGTGCTGACACATGTGCTACAGAGACGGCTGCGCAGATGGAGGAAAGCAGAATGAATGAGAACGAGTCAGATGGATTCCCTCTTTCTTCTAGCCAGTGCAGTGGAAGTGAACTACCTGGCAGTCAGCCTCAGCCTGTTGCAGCTCAAGCAATCATGGAGGAAGAGGAATTAAACATAGAGGAATATGATAGTGACTGAGTACAACAAAATATCAGCCACTGACTTGCCTGAATAGATTAATATGCTAGAAAGGCCTTTGGTAAAGAGAGTATGGTCTGCACAAAAGTATGGCTCTAGCTACTTAGGCCAAGTCTAAACATGCTGTATCAGCAGTGAGACAACTCTCCTCAGCTTCCTCCTAACTGCAGGATCCAACTTGAGCTGAATACTAAACTACAAGCTATTCCCTGCCTCTCCTGAGCCATGAAATAATCTATATTGATAAAAAGAGAATAACAAATTATGCCTGAAATTAGTTTGAAAGAGACTATAGATAAGCAGTGTCACTCTTTAAGTTATTTTTATTTTTTACACAATTTACTTTGCAATTGTACAGTGTGTGTACACATTTGGTAAATTGTCAGCATTTGAAGGTTTTATTAAAATTCATACCTTCAAAAAAAAATTGCTGTTTGGAACCCTGGTGCTTCTGAAAGAAGAAACTGAAGTGTACATGTAAAAAGTTTGATATCCCACACTGATGATGTAAATAAAACTCCTACTGTGTTCATACTGTTTTGTACTCTGCCACAGATTTTCATGTTTGTAAGTTGCACATACGTTGTATTTTGGCTTCCTTTTTGAAAGATTTTCATAACTTACGGAGGGGGAAATACAGCAATCAAGCATAAGTCTTTCTCGTCCTTTGTTTTCTGTAGGATTTTTAAGGTGGTGTGTACAGTTTTTCTCCTTAAATTGCAGTTGTGCTAGGGGAAAGAATACTCCTGTGTTTGGTAACATGACACAGGAGAAGTGTGTTGTGGTTTCCTGAACAGCCTATTCAGTACTTCAGTGTTTCTCTGTAGCTGGGACTGGCCCATGCAGTCAACAATCTGAGGTGCTGCTGTGGTTAGTGATGCTGCAGGAATAAGGAAAAAAAAAAACCCAAACCCGCCAACTTTGAATGTGTAATGTATGTTTGCATTTCTGTATTGCTTACATCCAAAGTTTAGTAGAAGAAAATATGTGTTTATGCACCATAACCTCGGAATTAATGCTGCTATTAAAAAGTCCAGATTTGTCCTTTCTCAAGGGAGAGGTGTAGTCTCTCCATCTCTAGCTTGGTTTAGTTTTGAAGAGGGAAATTTCTCCCTGAATTCTTGAATTCTGTTACAGCTGTACTCATTACAGCAAAGTCACCTCTCCAAGGTGCTTTGGATGGGGTGACCCCTGCTCATCTCAGGTGGTAGCTCACTTCACTCCGGCTTCCTGCTGCTGTGTATCGCTGAAACGCTGTCTGACCCTTCCTGTGCTCCCAGGGTGGCTTCTAGTGCAGATGCCACTGATACTGGTTTTCACTTTGCAAGCAAAACTCCAAGCTACTCTTTTGTTCTTTTCAGCTGTCCTTACAGTAAAATCAGGTCATAATAGAAATAACAGAGTTACTTTAACATCAACTACTTTGCGTTACTGTTGGCCTTGCCCTTGCTAGGGCAGTATTCAATACTCACCTGGTTAATGATATAATTTATTAGACAATTTATAATTAATTATAAATTGTAATAGTAGAGACTTACCACTATCAACTACAGCGTTCATAGTAATTTGTGTAAAACCTCTTTCACATTACAACACACACACACACACAAAAAGGCATTATTCTCTGTAATATTCTATTGTGGGTTGCAAAATGTGTGAAGAGGATGGAAGCCCCAAATTATCAAAGTGTTAGTGAGTGCCTGTTTAAAGCCACTGCCAGATTAACATTAAATCAGTCCCTAGGTAAGCCAAAGGGAAGGGCTGATGGCCGTTACACGTGTAGTTGCAAGCAGACAGAAGACTGAGTGTCAGTGCTACAGCCCACCCTCCTACCTACCTTCAGACCTTCAGGGAGTGGAGGAGTCTGTTTTGACTCCCTCAGCAACGGTAGCCCAATTACAAAGTGAGAGAAAGAAGAGAACTGCCTTTCAAATAGGAGTGACTTAGGAGCATCCCAAGAAGGAAAGGTACATGTATTTTTTTGGTGTGGTCAAATAATGTAAACAGCTATGAGAGCCATAGGGAAACCTCCATGGCTCATGCATGAACCCATCCGAGGCATCCCTCTCTTAGCTGTAATTCAGGGTGTGTTCAGTGCAGGGGATACATCACTAATGTGAGGCAGACAGAGTAAGCACAGTGCTGGATGCACCTGCCTGCTGCCTGGGAAGACACACCTTTGGTTGTCGTGGCCTTCTCAGGCTTCCCTCCTCTGAGGAACAGTTATTTAGAAGCAGACTTTCCACCTTGCCTAAGAGCAAAGTTCTCCAGAGATGAACTGAAAAATTCTGCAAACCGGGCCTGAACAGGAAAACTTTCCTGTCAGCACATGCTGCTGTCTCATGTCAGAGTTGCCTAGGGCATTCAAGAGGAATGACCTCTTCATCTCGATCCAGTTTGCCATGAGTAGTTCTCCCCTCTACCCCGTGCCAACAAAACCTGTTGCTAACACCAGTGGCCTGATATCCACAGCTGGGTACAGTCTCTGTTTTGAACAGATGCCTGAGGGTAGTCAGCGTGGTGAGATGCACTCCTCCAGCTGCAGGAGGACGTGTATGCTTTGTGTCAACACGCCCGTGTTCAGGTTGCACAATGGCATCTTACAGGACAGTAGTTCTCTTACTGGAATGTGGTGGAGTTGGATCCAACATGGATTTACAGTGAAGAAGTCTTAGACACAAACACGCATGAACATTTCTCCCTTCATAGGCAAATGTACAGGGAACTCCCCGCCTGCGTATTAGAAAAAGAGCTCATGAAACCACTGGCAATATCGGGACACGAGAAAAATAGCTAAAAACTACAACAAAAAATTTCTTAATAGTTATGAAAAGTTTTCAAGAGTTGTGGTGAGAAGCTACTAGATAGGTGGAACTGATGTCTGTTCTGTCTTCTGTGACCTCCTCTGGGGATACTGATATTGAAATTAAAACCAGACAATTTAGGCAAATCACTCCACTTGGGTTTTTTGTTGACATTTTATCCCCTTTCCCTCTTTTGTGTTAGGAGCAAGCACCAGCTGTGAGTATGGGTGTGCGGAGCATCAGACATGATGAGAACTAGAACTCAGCTTTGACCTCGGTGTTCTGGCAGCAGCTACCCCAGCACCTGCCCAGGAGCACACATCAAACTTGGCAGCCTTGGCACAGAGTTACAGTCCATTCACCTTCGCCCTATTGCTATAGACTCTGTTACTGTCTGTATGTTGGCTGCATCCAAACGCTGCTGGGAAGATCAGGTACTTTCTGTCCCCTTTTACAGTCAGCAGGAGACAGACACTGAGCTTAAAGACACAACTGGGTACAGTCCACTGCTATAATCAGACCAACTGTGACAAACACCACCAAACAACAATATTACTGGTGAAAAAATACACAACACAAGTGAGACACAGAACCAAACAGCACCACCCGACTGGCTCCCCAACAGCGGTACCTGGCACCCTGCCTCTTCCTGGAACTTCCCTGTTTAAATCCTGAGCATGACATCACATGGTATGGAATGCCCACTGCTTTGGCCCGTTTGGGTCAGCTGCCCTGGCAGATGCCCTCCCAGTTCCCTGTGAACAATTAACTCTATCCTAATCAAACCCCGGACACAGCCTGAGCAGAACAATCTTAATCACTTTCTTTAAATTTCCACATCGAAGCCTCAGAACAACATTATCCACTTCAAGATTGTGTGTGTGCTGTATGCACTGCCACAGAAATTTTACCTTTTTTTTTGATGAACACTGTCATCCTACTTAAAATGGATTACATTTGTGCCTTAACATGACAGTATTAAGAATTTTACTGGGGTAATCCTAAAAATCTCCATGTAGATCCGCTTGTGTTTTTTTTCTTTGTTCTGTTCTGTTTTGTTTTTCCTTGCTCTAGTTAAATACCAGATGAGCGCTACTAGTAGCTTTGTTGACACCTTTCTGTCCAAAGCGCTGTGAAACTGCACACACCAACTATAGCCTGCTGCTTTCCAGAAGTGAAAAATACCAAAGAGCTCCTACTGAGAAATGCAGTCTATGTTGGTATTAACATCAGTCTCCAATTAAGATGCAGAAAAAGAGACATTAAATCCCCATTAAGACAATTTTTTTCTCTTTTTCTTTTATTGTCTAGAGTCAGTCAGTGACTTCAAGTGTTCTCCAGCTGACCTCAGTAAATCCATCAAATGGGGCAATGTGTTCTACTAATTCAGGATGTCTCATCCTACATGTTACCTACTCTTTACTGAGGTATTATTAAGTACTTACTAGTTACTAGCACCATAGCATAATAATTTGCAGCATTTATTTTAGTTACAGATTTTCCTTTTTTTCACATTCTGAAAATCCAGGAAAAAAAGAGAAAGCTAGCAATCAACAAACCAGTACAACTAACGTCTGTGACTTTTATAATGGAAAGAGAAATGGAATATGCAAGTGATGGTTCAACAGAGCTCCAAGGCATACACAGCAGGATAATTTCAGAAGCAGGAACTTTATTAAATCAACTTTTTGTGAGGAAAGACTGGTTGTCACGTAAAGTACAAGCAGTACCAAGTTTATTAAAAAAAATCCTACCTCTAAGTCACTTGAACAGTTTAGTGATCCTTGAAATAAAGCCTTTCAGTTTGCATTTTTCTGCAACACAGGCTAGACTGTGCAATGAGCTTTGTATTGCAGTTGCAGTCTCTGATTCTGAAATCCCAGAAATAACATTAAACATGCTTACTTACTTTTCTTTTCAATGGCACAAGCAAGACTGGAGACATTTTGGAGCTTAAGCCTGACATTTATGCAGGTGAGTGAGCCTTTTCATACCTGTCTACCAGGGCAGGTAGACAGAGACCAGGACTCCCATGAAAACCATGAGGAGAGGCTGCCTGAATATATTTGACTAATGGAGCTTGCTGAGGATGCACACAAATTGTGCCACAGATGAGAGACTGAACTTATCTAGATAACCATGTCCAAGCAATTTCCCCTGGAACAAGAGAGTCTGTAGAGTCTGTTTCTCACGCAGTCGCCCCTGTGATCTCTACAGAGCCTCTCCATTTTGGGTGAGCTCTCTGGACTGAGCCTGACTTCTTTTTTCAGTAGGATGGCCCTGAAGCTTCAATTGTTTTATTTTTTCCTTTTAAACAAGTATA